CTTTACACTTTATGCATAGGCAGCTTGGAGCTCTTACCCCCGAACTATTCTTAAGGTTGTATACGACATACGTGAGGCCACTCCTTGAGGTGCATAATATCATTGCTCCTCCGCTACTCAAAACGGATGCTAACATGCTAGAAAGTGTCCAGAGACGAGCGACAAAATGGGTGATCGGCCTCCGCAACAAATCATATGAGGAAAGACTGAAGAAATTAAATCTTTTCACACTTAGTTACCGTAGTCACAGGGGAGAACTCATCACTGTCTATAAGATCTTAAATGACCAGGCCCACCCTAATAAGAGCATCCTGCCATTAGGTGATTATAGGCTTCCACGAGGTAACCCGCTAAGGATAGCACACCAGAGACCAAAGACTCGAGTGCGTTCACATTTCTTCTCGCTTCGAGTTTGCCGTCTCTGGAACGCTTTACCGGCGGCCGTAACTACAGCTCCATCTGTGGAGACTTTTAAGCGGAAGCTGGACAATCATGCAGAAATGCAAGGTTTGTGTCTCAATGGCTTATCCTCTTAAAATTTGAAACCACATTGTCAATGGATAAGCATACAAGCTAAATCCCCACGACCCGTCCTGTCTTCTCCCACTGTACCGAATACTCTATCTTTTCTTTCTTTCTTTATTATTTCACCTATATTATTTCACTTATCACAACCTATATTATCTACACTACAACCTATTATTATTATCATTATTATTATTACTATTCTACTTTTATGACTATACCGAATGACCAATGGGTGTTAGGTCAAACTCCATTCACGGCAGCAGCTGAGTCCTAACATACTGCACACTACAAACCACAATCTTGACCAATCCTCGCATCACTCCTCTTGGAATCTACCAGAGCTAAAGCAGTCGAGTGGCGGGATTTACTACGCATAAGTTCACCGAAGATCTGGAACCTCTACCTTACAATCAAGAAGCGAGCTCAAAGAAATCACTGGTTTATACTAGCTCGTAATCAGGATATTGGATATTGGATTACAGGATAATAACTTTCTTTCACGTATGAGCCTGAGATATGTCTATGAAATCACAATATTATATCAGTTAAATCTCGCCCGAAACCAAGGCCACTTGAAACCAATAGCAACATAGAGAAAAACGTCGTTGAGGGTATATGCAATAAAGTCGCTCGTTAATTAAATTCAGTGGAAGCAGATATGGTCGCATTAGGACAAAGACATCCGAGAAACACTGACGAGTGTTTTGCGACTTATGACCAGATACATTTGCTTAATAAGTTGTAGGAATTGATTCTACATACATCAGAAAGTGAAGGTAAGTTCGCTCATTCACTTATCACCTTGCAGATATTCTTCTTTCCAGTTCGTGATACCGGATAATTTCGGATGTGGGCATACAGTTCTGTTTACTTGAATTGCGGAAGAATTTAAAGACAGTGCAATTTTAACACTGGGAAGTTTCAGTGGAATAATGGGAGATACTTCCCAAACGAAGACTTCCATCTTGGGCTGTGCTCAGCCTAAACAAGTAAATGAACTTGTTTGCTTTGCAGTGAAATAAAACTTTTTATCTAATATTCTTGTTTTCTACTTGATATACATGCAGTGGGAGTACGTTATGCTAGACTGGTACTCCCTAGGATATGGACTCGTTACCATACGTAAGTGTAATTCTGTACGAAGACTATCGATCGATATAAGTGGTGAAATATAGTTACCTTAGTCAAGACTAAAATTACGCGATTACGCCTTATAGCCATAAGTAAATCTGTAAGAACCAATTACAAAATAACTTAACCTCTGTATCTGAAAAATAAGAATAGAATTTAGCCACCGCGGTGGAGTTCGATTTCATATAAGATTAAGTGTATTTAAAAGTAGTCCATTACTATTATTTAGTTTCACTCAGATAGAACAAGAAAAGTATGGTAAGCAGGATTTCAAATATATTTAGCGAAAAATAATAACAAGCAAATGTCTCTACACAATTGTTTGCCGCAATTATTTCGGAGGTATCGAATTGCTGTGACCAGGTTGACTGATGTTACCCGACATCTGCAAATAAGTGAATGAAGTGTATTTTTTAAATCGCTGAAGTTAGAAAAAAGTAATATAAAAGTTATACGCTTTATATTTGACTACCTTTGCTGAAAAAAGTTCATTCTCCTTCCTCATTCTATGATCATGACAGCATTCTTCTGTGGTTTTCACTGTTACACCCATAGTTCATCATGCAAAGTATAGCACTAAGCGGATGATAGTAATTTAGTATGTCGTATAAACGGGTGTTTACCAGGAATGTATGTCATTTCTACATGCACAATAATTTATGTTATAAATTGCAATCGTGAAGTATCATAAATAAATACTTTTTCAAAAGTTTAAATCGTTCGACTATTGTACAAGCAATGAGAACAGGTTATCACAAATGTTAAATTGTAAACCCTTCACAATCAACACCGTAGATTTGGGTGAATGCCATGCCGTTACGTGATTAAAAGCTATTTCAGGAAGAGAACAACGTCCTGAGAAACTGCAAAAAGGCATAAAATGAAATTATGGATAGTACGTCATTGAAAGTACACCTACAATATACATACTACAAGTGGCTATAGAGTCCTTGGAATAGTAGTATACATTTGCAATGTTTAATGCTAACCATATTGGCCTTATCATGGAAACCATGACGTTTCCGATGAAAATATAGCTTTGTTTTGGTGCTTTGCATCAAAGCAACCAGACTTTAAGCAAGCAACAAATATGAACAAATAGTAAGTGTTAGCTTTAATAAAGGCCTAGATAGTTAAGATAAAACAGAGCATAATAGTGTGTGAATGAGAAGATTATCGTCAGTTAGATACGTGATATTTCAGTGAGGAGCGAATTCCAAGATCTGAAAGATTAGAAACCTTAAGACAAGTTGACCCGTAAGATCTCTCACGAATTTCTGTAAGGCCCATAGGGTAGTACTGAGGTTTTGGCGTCATTCTGAACTTTGAAAGCTGGTTTACAAATCTAAAAGACAGTAATTATGGGAACTGGAGCAACACTTACTATCTGTTCAGAGTATTTCCCTTGACGCAGTTTCTTATCAACAATTTGCAGTATTCCTAGTGATTTTATAGGAAGCTTGATCTCCTCTTCATTTTCATCAGCAGTCCTTTCACGCACAATAGAATGCAGTAACTACATATAAATAAATAAATATCATTCTCATAGTACAGTACATGGGGGGACGCCAATTTACAGGCATCATCAAACTGTTACAGAAATAGAACCATATAATTCAATCATAATTTACAGGCGGTAGCAAGATATGCTTTACATGTTCGCTGGAGATTATACATACACCTAATAAATGTTAATCCCAGTAGTATAAAACATCCTTTTAGCTTGTATACAATCATTTCTGTGCACAGTTGGAATTATCTGCTAGACTGTCTGTGAGTGCAACACATCAGGAAATACAGAAGTATTGTCTTCGCATTAACAAAAAACCAGGTCTTTGGTGGATGGATTATAAGTGCATGGGAAAAAATAGCTTGAAGTCAATTTTCATACATAACTTTGTTGTGTGCAGAATCCTTGAATTATAGTTCATTGATGTGTTATTTTGAAATCAGTGATATGCTTATCTCATTTGATCTGCAGTATCATTATTGGGAATAAATATACATCATCACATTTTCTTAGGAAAGGTGGGTTGTAGTTGGTGAGGGATATATGGTGCCCAAGCATTGTAACCTGAACATCACAAAATCCCTGTAGATATCCTGCTGAACAAAAATAGTTTTAAAAAATGAGTCATACGTGCGGCTTCCGTATCCTTAAGAGCCACAGGTAATTCACGAAGGTGCTCAGAATATCTTAGTGATCTGAAAATGAATGATTATTAGGATTGGTTTAAATTACGTAACGGGTGTACCAGTGGTAGGATGCAGCTGCTAGCTACTATTCGACAGAAAGTTAATGCTAACTACAAACTCTGTTACATTTCAGAAGGACTATCCATAATATTATTCTTTTCCCAATGCATACTGATACCCAGATAAGTTGATGCCATTTAATGCACTGAGCAGTTAGGGTCTTCCGAAATTCCATGTGACAATTTAAATTCAACTGGTAACACATCTCCGGCTGAGCAATTTTAACCACTAACTTCATCAAAATGGACATAATCACCACGAATTTCAGCCGCTTGTCTCATTCATCGTATGATTTCTTCGATGTGTTATGGAAGATTTTAATCATCACAGATGAAAACAAAAATGTTTAACCTCCTCAGAACATACATGTAAATTTCATACATAAGCTTATTCTCTTTCAATTACCTGATTCCCATAGGCTAACTGCTACAATAACAACCATTGCCTGCAATCAATTTACAACCTGAAAATCTAAAACAACTCGCAAATAACATATCTCAAAGGCTCTCAAACGAAAATAACAGTTACTTCTACGCATAATTTCTTTAAATGCATGCCTTTCTTCGCAATAATTCCTCTAGGATATCAAGACACTATTAAGCGTTAATACGAACGCAATACATGTAAATATTGCTTTATCGGCTACAGAAGCCTAAAACTAGTCAAATATGCTCCATTATCCCAAAAATAAACGCTTTTAACGCCTCTATAGGCGTGAACGCGATAACCCATACAGTGCGAGAAAATACATCGCGATGGCCTTTATCCTCACTCCGTCGAGCAGCACAGTGTATTTTGGATTCCATTCCAAAGTTAAATGAATCTTAACATAAATCGTTTTAAACAAAAGTTGTGTGCAGTGTTTCCGTTTTTAACATCTAACAAAAAACTGTATAATCATATTGTTCCAGACTCTACAAGACCTGGGATGATAGCTACACGTTTTCTCCCTTCCAATGAGTCTGTTGTCTAAGCAGTACTTAATTACTAGGTTTGGATGAAATTTTTGGAGTTATTCGTGTACAGAATCTATAATTCTGCCCACATACTGTGGAGTCACCTGACCGGCAGCTCAAGGTTAGTATTCCGTTCATTGGACAGTTTCGTTTTCGGCTGCTATAATTAAGTCGCCCTACCTACCTGTCGATCTGTTGCAGTTTTGTAAATTTATATGATTGTCTTTATGCCACTGTTGTTACTACGATCTATAATACTACTGTTACTGTTATTTTTGAACAAAATTGACGACCGCAGTGGAAGTAGTCAAACGGTTTGGATGCACCGCACACTACAAACCAAACATAAACAACCTCCCATATCATACACCTCGCGGTCTGACAAAGCTATGGAAGGCGAATGATGGGACGAAATACAGATTATTTCATCAACTGTCATTAAATGTTGCTTCAGTACCAAGAGTTTAGCTCGAAAAAATCAATTAAGTGCATACTACCTTGTTAAAAGGAAATTGGATTGTGATTCCCGGGTTGCGCGATTTATAAGTTTGCAGTTTCGAGGTGACGGGAATGTCGTTCGTGATTCGTATAAGGGGTCTTCCGTTTTCTGCTAATGCAGAGGATATTATCAATTTTTTCAGCGGTAATATTTCTGTGAATTGGCCCTTAAGTTCTTTATAGATTCCAAAATCAAAGGCGGAAAGCGTGGAATTTACTTCCCCCAAGGACCTAATGGTCGTTCCAACGGAGAGGCTTTCATTGAGTTAGAGAGCAAGGAAGACAAAGAAAAAGCCATGGAACGTCACAAGGAACATATGGGTCGCCGATATATTGAAGGTTAAAATTGGAGTTATTGTTTATTTATGAATATAGTGTTCGACTCGTGCTCAGAAGAATTAGATTATGCTATGGGGAACAGGTCCTCTGACACACATAACCGAAGAGAGCATGTTGTGCGATTACGCGGTCTTCCTTATGATACTGAGAAAAAGGAAATTTATGCATTTTTCAGCGGTAAGCAACTTTTTAAAATGTAGCCTTATTGTGAATAGCGCGAACTTATTCTACATGACACAATCTACGGCATATATAGTGCTGACGACAAATGGCTGGGAAACTAAAGTAAACAAATGGTTGAGTTAGAAGAGAATCATACGTAAACCTCGTGGAGTTTGACTTATTAAAATTATTGTTATCAGGGATGTTGATATACTGGCATAGTGACTTTTGATTGTGTCCACATAATTCAAGCACTTATATTCACTCTATTTGGTAACATACTTTTGTTAACACTACACGGTGATAAGTGTAGTGTGTTTTCGATCAAACGTTAAAACGCATGGAGGGGTCGAAAACTTTAGCAAAGTGAAATTCCATGTATACTTATTTAATGAAGCACTTTGGCTAGTAGTTGCTTATTGATGTCATAGCAGTAGGTTAAACAGTCAAACAGCACTGAAGTTACTTGTGGGTGGTTTTATTCTTTTGGCTGGGAGTAGTCTTAGATGTTTAAAAGTGGCTGCACGTCATTCTTTCTAAAACTAGTTCACATTTTTTATTTTATACCGTTGAAGCAATTATATAGTTTTCCGGGGTCATAAGTTTCGCCGTCAAATTGGGATATATTGGGTTTGATTAGCTTCATCATGTTTGTGTTGGTGATCTTGCAAGTTAAGTATGTAGTTACTGACCAAAAAGTATCTCAGTATGGCATAGTATTCATATATACAGCAATGGAAGCCTTTCGTTCAGTTGGCCACTGTCTTGGAAGCACTGGTTACGTGTGACAAAAGCAATATACGGATTTTACTAGAAAAGTTAAAACTTACTTTTTGTAGCCAGGAAGTCACATACATTCACAAATAGCAATGTAGAGCGTTAGAATTCAGTAGTAGTAAGGCTCAGTGACTTGCTCATGTTTGATAGCTATCGTGTTTCATTGCTAACTCAGTCAACTTATGCTTAGGGGTTATTATGAATAAAATTAGCCCATCATCTTTCATTCTAATTATAATTTATACGGGCACGCATCTTTTATATTTTATTTTGATTTCTTTATGTCTGTTTTCAAAATACATTTTGCCACCCCAGTATCTGCCACAACTTTGGTTAGGACATCACAGATTCCTCTCATGAGCTATTAGGTTATCTAAAGTGGCATGCATATTTCATCTCCAAGAGGTGGTGTTAGTTGAAGTAAGTGATGAGCATCACACAAATGTTTTCGTCCTCAGACTAAGTGAAGGCACGAAAAGATTAAAAGTACTTAAATGCTATGGAAAGATCCTTTTTTTAGCATATAGAAGCCGGCTACATACAGGAAAGAAATGTTTGTTTTTCAATTAGGTCCTTATCAATGATTCTATTCCAAATGGCGTTTTTAATACAGTACTTAATTTCCTTATCTATTGATGATAAAACTGCTTGTTACTGCCTGATTGAAATAAGTGGCTGTGAACTACTCATATCAACCAAGAATGTTTGCTAGCCGGATCGAAGTGATCTTAAGACCAGAAGGCAGTTTCACTCGTGTGGGCCCGAGCTGGTCAGCCTGTTTGACTCAGTTCAAGCTACCCGAATTTCGGCTTGCTACTTGGGCGAGCTGGTAATAAACTAGATCAAATTCTCAATTCGCAAATAAATCAGCGATCTGCAATTTACGGTTTGAAGTAGGGTTTCACCACAGTTTCCCTTAGAAGCCAAAATTATTTGGATCACTATGTGGTCTGCTTGATACTATAAGCGCCAACTAAGAAAACAGACAAAAATGCGTGGTTCTGTGTAGAACGATATTTTTCGCATAAATTAAAATCAAAACCTCAAATGAGCGAACCCGCATTCTGGTGTTTAGATCACTTTGACGTTGATGTGAACGGTATACAATCAGTACTATATGGTTTTATGCGCTTATACTTGGTTTCTGGATTACTATATGTGGTATCAAGCATATTATATGTTGTGATTTGTATAATCTGGGTTCCTAAAGGAAACTGGTGAAATAATCACTCCTATTTGCTTAAATGACGAGTCACTGCCAAATTGAGAACTGATTTGCAGATTATGAGTTTGACAAGTAGTGGTAAGTTTGTTCACAACATTTTGTTGATGTCAACATGTTAAAGGGGTGGTGATAATGCAGTAGTTAAGTGGTAGGGATGTCTAAGAAATTACAACATGGTGCAAAATTTACACGTTGAGGAATAAGGATAAGTGATTAGATTATTTTGATTGGTCACGATTGAGAATGAAACTGAAATGAGAATTTCTAAATGCGACCGGGGGAAGGAATGACCAATTTATTATATTTATGTGAAAATGACTAAGGTAGGTAAGTTGACTGTATGGATTTTGGAGCACAAATCTATCGGTTAGAGGGATAGATCTCGTAAGGTTATCACTTGCTGGATCTTTATTCACTACTTATGTATTATATACTCGAAACTGAGAGTAACTTCATTATAGATAAGGTTTTATTTTGATAAATCACACAGTGTTATACAGTAATATTAAATGATGACGTTTCGAGCACAAACTATTGCTCATAATCATACCAAGTCACTCACACAACTTTTTACTTCATTTATATACATGAGTGAAATTGATTAAACATTTGAATCAAAACATCTTATTTCCCATCTGACTGTACTTAATTGATAACACTAATATTATTTCTGAATGGGTATTATCTGATATTGATTTTTATTCAAATGTCTAATCAATTTCACTCATGTATATAAATGAAGTAAAAGGTTGTGTGAGTGTGACTTGATATGATTATGAGCAATAGTTTGTACTCGAAAAGTCATTAGTTAATATTACTGTATAACACTGTGTGATTTATCAAAATAAAATCTTATCTATAATGGAGTTATACTCTATCACCACAGTGCCCAAGTTTTATACTTATAAGAGTAACTTCACTTGATGTTGCTTTTTCAACCACTTTACAACAGTACATAGAAACGTGTTTACAATACCTGTGCACAGGTTAACAACAATGAACATAACTGTTATTCCTCCGCAAATCCATCATTACCTAAGGATTTATTTGGCGATATTTGCAACATCTATTACTCATACTTTCATTGTTTATATGCACGCCCTAATAAAGTGTGGTGCACAATACTCTTATGTGGTAGTTTATTTTGTTGTTGACATGATACCATGTCCAAACATATAACTACATTCGGTTGGTCGGTAAGAGTCAAGCGCTTTCAGTCTCCGGTAGTGACCTAAACTAATTAGATTGAGAGTGTTTGCTTTTGATGATACGGCCTCTTAATCAGAGATAACATCCATAGACGTATAAAAATTTTTAAGATATGGCAAAATCATAGGAATGACATTAATTTCTGAGATTGGTTGGTACCTAACAATGTCATACGTCCACACAAACATATTATACGGGGAAAACTACTAGGACCTGGTGAAAAATCGTCATACTTTCGAGAAATCAGTTCAGAAGGCGAACTATTTCGGACACTGATTCCAATCGATCTGCGCTGGAGTTTAACAGCTAAATCCAGTCTATTACTTGGTACCGATTATAAGGCCTTCATACACAGCTGTAACCTAGGATTATTTTACATACTCAATTGACAAGTGTGTCATTTCATCCAGGCACTGTGCCGTGTTTCAATTTACCAAGTTATGTTGTGACTGTCTGTCTTTGTTTTTTAAGTATTTGGTGCAAATCTTCCTGTGATAATCACAGGGGATAAGCTTGACTAATATACAATCTAAAGTTCTAAGTTCAGTAATCATGCATAGACGAGGTGGTGTTCAGGAAAAACAAACCCGGAAAACCAGGAAGGCTGAGAAGGTACATTGATCGTATATCCACTCATTCTGGATCGTAGGCATATCTCCCAGCATACTTGACATATTTCTTGGCCTGAAGGCGGCATTCAATCTTGTCGACTGGGAAGTGCTGTGGCAATGTTTGGTCGCGTGGGGATTGCCGAGAAAGTGTATGGCACTTATCAAAGCACTTCACTTAAACTCACCCAATCGTATTAAAGCCTATGGAGAGTTGTCATTTGAAGTAATGACAATCAGTGGCGTCTGCCAGTAGATACCCACTGTCCTCATTTTATTCAGTTTCATCATGGATGTACTAATGGGATTGACCGTAACAGACTTTGTTGATTTGGGGATTGACTTGTTACCAGGGGACTTTGTAGAGTATGTATGTAGAGGCATGGAAGATAAGTCCATCGATTAGGTCATGAGACTATGTCGATTAAAACAACTAGGAGACGCGTTGCGCATTCCGAACCACCACCTTCCTCAACAAACAATGCTACCTGACATAAGATTAGATTGGGAAACGGTTAAGTGGTCAGACCGAAACCTAGCATCAGCCCATAAAATCTATGACAGTTGGTTTGAGTCACATGGGGAGTTAGAGACTGCCTGGTTGAGGTTGTCTGAATGCTAAGAACCAATCGTTAGCAGCTATTAGTGATATTATTCAAAACCGTTCTTCATGGTGCTGATGCATTAACTATTTGTGTTCCTCCATATCCATCCGACCTTCATGGTTTTCCCTGTTACTATTCTTTCTCCCGCATATTTTTGTCCATTAGTTCTCACAAGTATTTTTCTTTTTAGCATTCTGTGCTGCATGGAGTGTGGTAACTTTAAACTGATGCATTTTTCTTCTGAGTTGAAACTGAGTTCGTCAAACTTTTGTGCAGCTACGAAATGCAAAGTATTGCAGTTCTTCTTTCTGTTTCCTATTTCCTCTATCGTTTGTATTTATTACGAATTCTACTATTTCGCTTGTGAACTATATTTGTTGACCCAGTAAAGATCTATCAGAATAAATGTTTTAAGCGCATTTAGTCTGAATAAATCCACTAATTTCAAAAAGAGCTTGCTTTGTACATTTCTTTTCTGCCGTTCGGGCTGTTTCAGAATAGTGCACTGTTGAACAAAGTCCCCAATGTTTACCACAGTGGGTTATATTGAATTTTTAATCATATTCCACTAATGTTATATTTAGTCGCATTTCTAAAGTCCGAATCCCCAGTATTCGTTTGCGGCACTGGTCTAAAAATTTACAGTTTTATGGGTCAAAGCGGTTGTTAAAGTATTTTCTAATCTCACCCACACTAGTGTGAGGCATTGTAATGGTGCTAAAGGCATACCTCCGACGCAACTCAATTGCCTTCCGTCTCTGGAAGTACTATGCGCGGTTGCACAAACATGGTTTCATGCTCCCTAGTGATGAGTAGGTCTCGCGACATAACACAATATGCTGAGTGCCTTGCTCTAAGGTAAATTGTAGTTGCACTTAATTTATAAGTTGGTTCACTGTGCAGGATCACAAAGTAGCACTACAAAGTTTCCATTTTCTTTAAAATCGTTCAAAGGGGTAACTAACGAATTTCAGAGCATCGCCTTTCCTTGTGTCGTTGTGCTGCGTTTCTATTTGGGGAATCTAGGTGAAATCAAATAAAACGTCATAGCTCCCATTTTTGCTTTGATCGCAGCAAATTTTGGTTAATGAGGCACCTATCTTCAGCTGTTGCTTACTTATTCAGTTTAATGCGTCTGATCATTTTATTTGTTTCATTCCTTTCCTAATTTTTCGGGTTTTATACAATCTTGGGATCGGCAGGTCTGGAAATAGCTCCCAACGGTATCGGGTTATTGGTGGATCATATGGGTCGTTGCACTGGGGAGGCCTATGTACAATTCACGTCTTCTGAAAGTCTAGCACGGGCAAAGGAGAAGCATATGGAGAAGATAGGGCACAGGTGCTTATTTTCGGGTTTGGATGGGAGGTTTGGGTATTGTTGTTTATGTTTTGCGTGATAGTCCGTCGTATGGGATATTTAATATTTATTTACTTAAGTAAATAGCTTGTTGGCATAGAGCCAGTCAATTTTGTGAAAACTTGTTCTTACACTCAGTTAAATTTTTTCAGATACATAGAAATATTTGAGAGTACGATGATGGAAGCTAATATGATGATACAGCAGCAAATGGAAATAAATCGTAAGTTGTCTGATATTTGGCTAACATTTAGGAAATCGTGGTTCGACTGGTGGGCCGATGTTTGCTCGTGGTTACCGTGACAACTATCCCAGTCCGATGGGTCACTGCAATTTTCTTAGAGGGTACGATGCACCACCGTTTAGTCCAAATGGTCGGGGACCCAACAGAGGTCCACTTCCTGGACGATTTACACCGTATGGGCGGCCTCCACATCCTCCTGGGCATTTTGAGTACAGTTCTCCAGCTAGGAGCTTTCAAGGGCTGTCTACCCTGAAGGGTTCAACTTTTGGGTCATCTGGCCATTTCGAAGCTGATGATCCACAAAGCTTGACAGGGCATTCAGTTCGTATGAGAGGTCTGCCGTATTCCGCAACCAAAGAGGACATTGATCGCTTTCTGGCTCCTCTTCAACCGGTCGACATCCGGATGCGCTTCAATGCCGTAAGTTTTATTCCCAATTACATTGGTTATATTTTTGCGTGTAATTGTCGTACAATGTTTTCTTTTTAGTCTAACCGTCCTACTGGTGAAGCGATTGTGGACTTTGCCAGTCATGATGAAGCGAAGGAAGCAATGAAGAAGGATCGCGAAAAGATTGGGTCTCGTTATATTGAGCTTTTCTTGGCATCCACCCCTAAAGGGATCTCTCCATCATCTCGAATGGTACGTTGGAAATTATTCGACATATTTGATTATAGAACAATGGTGCTGTAACTCATAACCGTCGATCACCTCCCGTCTATAATAGTCGGGGTTTCCTGGGTCCACCATACAACAACTATTCGCACCACCAACTAGATTACGATGATAGGCATTACGCGGAGGACATGGTGTATAATTCAGCTCCGTATGGGCCCGAATATAATCAAAGATACGATACTTTCCATAGAATGGGGCGGGTGTGAGAGAACCAGTAGTGTCTTCATGTAGGTTTCTTATTTGCATACTTAACTATTCTTCAGGGGACGAATAATCAGACAGCACGCACTCTCAAGGGAAACACTGTTGGTCTTCAAATAATGCATTGCTAATTCCTTCTAATCACAGAATAAACGTTTTAAAATTAACTTGGGCTTCTGAATTGCTATTGATTTTTATTGTGCAAGTGAATTAGAAAAGCTAGTGTGTTTCACTAATTTTTATTATTTATTATTATTGTTTCCTTTAGTTCTTAGAGGAAAATAGGGTTTCAGTCGCACGTCTCCATTGCGTTCGGTTCGCTGCCAACATTTTCAGCCGGCTCCACGTCTGTCCACATGCCTTCATCTTCTCTTCACGCGACCTCCATGTCACCATCGCACTGACGACCAACTAACCCGCCGCTTCCCACTCGAACGATGGCCCGGCGTGTGATGTCACTTGATGGTTTTCTCAGAGTATGGCCAATCCACCTCCATTTCTTCCTGCACATTTGCTGCACAATCGGTTCCTGCTGAGTTGGTTCGCTCCCAGAAATGCCTGTTGCTGATCTTTCCTGACCATCTGATCTTGCGTAGTAACACTGAGTGGAAACACCTGTTGATGAAGTTCTGTGGAGTCCTATCTTTGGTGCTTCTTCTGCCAACTTGTTGCATTTCACTTACATATCTTCCAGTTTGTGGGAAATCAAACGTATATCATCGGCGAAGTCCAGATTAAGTTTTTAGTGTGGGTCCATCTTATACCTGTTTCATTGCTACCCGCTGTCTGTCGCATTAAACAGTCTACCGCAATCAGGAAAATCATTGGAGACAGTAGGCGGCCTTGTCTTATCCCCGTCTTCACTTCGAAGGATTCCGTGAGTTTCCCGTTGTGGGCTACTTAATATGCAGCATTGTCTTACAACTGTTGGATGAGATGTTGTTGGCTGCGCCCCTTAGTAGTTTCCAAATCACCTCTCGGTCGACGCTGTCGAAGGCCTTTTCAAAGTCGATGAAGTTGAGGTAGAGAGCTGACTGCTATTCCAAGCTCTGTCCAATGATAATACGTAGTGTTGCGCTTTGATCAATGCATGACTTGTTTCTCCTAAATTCAGCCTTTTCGGGTCTAAGTTTTTCATCCAGGGCGTGTTTGATTCTCTCCAGGGTGATGCGGGTTAGTATTTTGCTTGGAACAGACAGGAGCATAATACCACGCCAATTCTTGCATTGACTTACGTCTCCTTTCTTTGGCAGTTTGAATAGGTAGTCTTTCCTCCAATTCATAGGTACCTTACCATCTTTCCACACCTTCAGTAGTGGTGTCATCAAGTCCGCTGATGTCTCTAGATCCATTTTCAATGCTTATGCAGGGATTCCGTCTGGTCCTGCTGCTTTTCTAGTTTTTAGCATCTTTACAGTCTTCATGACTTTTGCTTTCGTCGGAAGGTTGATGTCCACTGGTAATTCTGCTTCTGCTGTTGGTATTATTGGGCTCATTGCAGGTGGTTCTCGCCTAAGAAGTTTTTTGAAGTGTTCGGTCCAGTGTTTTCTTTGCTCCACCTCTTTGGTGATTGACTTTCCATTGTCACTCTTCACTGGTGGTGGATTCAACATAGAACTTGGCACCGAGGTGCAGCAGTTCGAGTTGCCACATTCCAAAGAGCACACAAAGGTAGACAGGAAAATGAGAGAAGAGAATCAATAGAATTTGGATAAGTATAAGAGTGAAACAGAATGAGTAATGGTAAAAAGGAATATGAAAGGTTAAAGAGACTGAATACATCTCCGCCACTGACAACGATTTTGAGCCATGTCACCTATTGTCTTCAGCCATTGATTCTTAGAGTCCCGAGGGCCCCAACCCGGGAGTCTGCATCTCCCTACCTGACTCAGTTTAACTGTCAGGGATTTCATGGATTGATGCCATGTTTTTGCTTGGCCACCACTTACTCTTTTCCAACCTTCACCTACTATATCAGCTAATAATGCCCGTCCGTCGGGGGAGACGATGGTTAGGCATGCGCAGCACGTGACCTAACCATCTCAATCTATGTAACTTCATAGCCTCTTCGATTGATTTTCCCTCTTTGCCCAACACTCGACGCCTAACGTCAACATTACTTACCTTATTATACCACCTAACGCGAGAAAGAGATCGTAAACATCGGTGGTCAGAAACAGACAATCTCTTCATGTCTTCCGCTCTCAATGGCCACGTCTCACCGCCATAGAGAAGGACGGAGCGAACTGCTAAGCAGTACACACATCCCTTGGTTGATAGCCGAATGTCACGCCTACGCCAGAGACGGTTAGCGAAAGCAACCCGAGCTTTCTGGATCCGTGCTGTGATTTCGTCACCAATCAATCCGTTGGTGCTGATACAACTCTTCACTGGCTTAGTTTGTGTTGATCTCTTCCCCGATAGAGTGTTGCGATGTCTCCTTTACCTGCAGCTTGTTCTGCTTTACTTGCCATAGCTTCGTAATATACTTTTTCGTTTTCCCTGGCACTCTTCTTTACTCTTTTGTTCAGTGTATTTTAGTTTGCATTCAATTCCTGTTTTTGTTGCTCGTCGATGCACTGGATAATCTTTGTTTCAACATCCTCTCTTTTATTAGTCTCCACGTGTCCGTAGAGAACCACTGTTTGTCCTGTCTATTCTTTCTGCCTAGAACTTCCGTGTAGGTATGACTCCACACCGCTTTCAGGCTGTTCCAGTGCTTTTCAACTCTGGTCTCTTCGCTAGTGTTGATTTGTGTCTCCGCCTATTTCCTTATGATTGCAGTGAATATGTCCTTTATAAACTGATCATTCAGTTTTTGAGTATTAAACTTGGCTTGGGGTTTATCTGCAACTCCTGTTTCTTTGAAAGTTTTTAATTTGATTTTGACTGCTCCTTGCACGACATAGTGGTCTGAGCTGACGTCTGCTCCTCTTCTTACCTTTGTGTTGAGTAAGCTACGTGTCCACTTCCTTGAGATTGCGATGAAATCAATTTGGTTCGCTCGTCTGGTGACACCCATGTAGCCCTGTGCTTGTTTACGCTGCTGTCAGTTACTAGTTCATTGAAGGCGAAGATGTCAGTGAAGAGTTCCCTGATTTCATTCATCTCTTCAAGTGCTTTTCGATTCATAATTAGTTCTCTTCCTGTGTTGTCTGGTCCCAGTTTGGCGTTAATGTTACCGACTGGGTATTGTCCATTGTTGCCTGTAGAACTCTTCTTTCTTTTCCAGTTTCGCGTTGTTTGTGGGTGCATAGCACTGTATAATTGTCACTCTCCTTTCTTTTGAGTTGAATCTGGCCGTCATTATCCTGGACAATATCGCTTCCGATTGTATCAGGGCCTTCGTTACCGTAGTTGCCATTGGTAATATTGATGCTTCTGTTTCTCTGACATCATGACGTCGGCGCGTATTGTGTCTATTTAATATAACCTGCTTAGTGCTTTTTCCAGTATTTCTCTGCCGCTTCCCCTATTTCACCTTGTCTGCTGTGTTTGAAGGTTACCAGGACATATGCAATCTCGACATGTTCTGGAAGCCGATAGTTTTCCTCACTTACCAAAGGTTTGCGAATGATGAGATTTCTGAATGGATCATGGAGTCCGTTATGCAGTAGTTCATTCCCAGAGGGAAACACATACCATCAGTTTCAATTTAAACGTCATGACTCGGAAGGCATTTCCAAGATTTCTTGAAGAATCTAAGCTTTACACAGGTTATCGTTCGATCTTGAGGAGGGTAAATCAGTTGACAGGGTTGTGAAATCACACCGACTGAGATGCTTAGGACACGTGTTACGCATGCCTAGCCAACGCCTTCCCCGACAATGGGCAATGTTAGCTGATACAGAATCAGGTTGGAAAAGAGCCAATGGTGGCCAAAGCAAAACCTGGCTTCATCAGTCAATGAAATCCACAACAGTTAGTTTAAGCCAACCACGTAGAGAAGTGTAGGCTTCCTGGTTGGAGTCCTCGGGACGGTGAAAACCACTGGCTGGAGACAATCGGTGATATGGCTCAATGGCGCAGATGCATCCACTCCTTGTAACTTATAATACCCCATAACATTATATTGTTCTTCGATATTACTATTCTTATTTGCCTCATATTTTTGTTATTTATCTCTGGTTTGAACCTCTCTGCTCTTGCTTTATATGTTACATTGAGGGAATGTCGCAACTCGAACTTCCGCACATGTGTGCAAATTTCTCCTTCGAAACCAGTCACACGTTTTGAAGGTGGTTGAATCTGCACTTAAATTAAAGAAATATACTTGTACCCGGAACTCATTAGAAAAAAGACCGGTGGTTTAATTTAGATAGCAAGTAGCAAAATCATGTGTTTGATGGATAACCAGATCAATAACTCAGTAGTACGTAGCTCAAATTCTACGGTGAATGTTTTCGTGATGTGTGTTCACCCTATTTTCAAAGAATTACAAGTAGTCAAATCGCTATACCTGGAAGAAAATCCTTTGTGTTACTATGAGCAGTAGGCTATAATCGAAAGATATGAGAGACTGGAAAATCTTGGGGCCAGCTAAAGAGGGCAACAGGGAATAGGGCAAAGTGGTGTGCTGTCAAACCATATATCCTATTCGGTACCCAAGGGAACAAAAATAATTTATAGTACACTGTAATCAAAATATCAGCTGATTACTAATGTATCACCACTAAAGACTATTTAATATGAAAGTATACTCCACCAGTGCTCGAATTTCACACTAACGTTATTCAAAGCATTCTAGTTCAGAGTGATCATTAAACCAGAATGTAAGCTGGACTCTTCATCTGAATACTCTACATACAGGGATATATATATATATATATCACTAGAATTGAATTGAGAAATATAAGACGTATAAGTAAATAAACTACACTAAATGAATCATGCAAAACATTTATGAATAGTTTTCAGGTCATGTTCAAATAGATGAGGGATTAAAATTCAGATAATAATAAATTACGCTTCAGTTACACCACTTAGATAAACAATTAGTTATCAGAGAAGGAACTTGAATGTATCAAAAACTACATACTAAATAATATTGGTAATAATAAAACGAGTTAAGATAATGGCGTAGATACTGCAAGGTCTTCCTTTTGAATCACAACCTTCAAAAGTCATTTACTACCAAAGAACATTAGAGATCTTTACGCAAACTGCAAAAGGACATCATTGTTGTTTTGTATTCTGATAAGGGACAATGCATGATACTGATGAACAAGTTGGATTATATAGAAAAAGTACAAGAAATATTTTCTGATGAATACAAGTTTGGAGTTGATATTAATACCAAAGATCAAACATTGTTTATTGACCAGTCTGAGCTAGAAGGCTTTGAGTAACATGAACATGGAATTCGAGCACTGATGCAGTATATTTTAATATTAAGTAATCTTAACGGTGATATATTATTAGTAACTAGCTGGTGTTTCGATTACAGTATGTTATATATCGTTACTATTCCTTTTGGTTCCGAGTAGGACATGAGGTTTCAATTGCACATCTCCACTTCATCCTATTAGCCACGTAGCCTGGTGCCCAACATACATGACATTTTAATCATTATATGCATTTTGACCAAATATTCTTATTCAATATTTCAAACGCGATATAATTTGTGATACAGCCTTCATTGATGTTTTCGGTTTATAAACTGCTGAAAACTACAGTTTTAAATTTTGACTAGCAATTATATTTAGAATATTACGAATATAGGTGAAAAAGCAGTATATAAAATACTATATGTACGACAATATCCATGTATATAATTCATGACAGAAACATTCGATAGAGCTTCGTACACATACTGATTTCCTATTTCATGAATAATGTCAAATCTACGTTCAGTGCTTGACCAATTCTTCACGGTTCAACTCAAATAGTCTAAGTGTTAAACGTTGGTTCATTTTGGCGAATTTTTCTGTACACTTATCAACACATTCAGTCTGTAGGAGAGAGAAAATGAAAAATGTAGCTATTATATGATTATTATTATCATACCTCTTTCTCATTCAATTTGCGTGCAGTGAAATTATTAACACACCGATCAAAACATACTGTACTACATCGAACATACAGTTCTGATGTCTCTTTAATTTGCATCTAAAAACAAGTAAAATCAAGAACAATTTTTCAATCAAAAAATAATAACACTTGTGAATGAGAAATAGAAGAAATTACGGGTTGCGTACTCCAGACTACCATATGTTACAAAAATACACCAAAGTCAAATCAACAAAAAATTATAGGGAAGTCCGGAGTGGTATAATCATATATTGTTATTATTCATTCCTTGCGTTCCGAGTAAAAAGCAGAATGCCAACGGCACATATCTATTCCACTCGGTTATGTCATCAATCCCAACTGCATCCACGAGCTATCCTTCCCTCTATATCACTCTCCGACGTCCAAACCCTCGCTTCCCATTCGCGTTCCAACCCATGTCTCTTCGGCGTATATACAATCCATCTCCAGTTCCTTCGTGAAATTTCTTGCGGAACTGGATAAGGATATTACTTAGAAAATAAACACGAATGCCTATTAATTAGATACCAAGTCGCTACCACGTAGCACCAGTTTTGTCTGTAGCACTAATTCTCTACGATCTGATTGTATAATGATAGTTGTCTAGTTAGCAATATATTATGTAACAAAATACCAGTGTAAAGTTGATGTTTCACAGATTATCAAAATAACTTAAGCGCTTTCATAAGAAATTCAGACAGCTCGTTACCAACTTATCCAACCCCATCCGAAGAATTCGGTCTGAGGTACAGATTGTGTATATGCCTGAGTATTCTGTCTACTGATAAAAATGCAAACGCTAATTTAAGTCACAAAAAGCTATATGAATACCAGGAATATTCATAATTCTGTCACGCTTCTATTGGTGGAAACAACTTAGGTTACACCATATAATTTAATAGTAGACACAAGAGATGAATAATCCTAAGAGTTAATCGTTAACCCTATTTATTTATAAAGAGCAAGAAGGGAGACAAGTGCTCTTGTGATAATCACAGGGGGATTAGGTTGACTAATATGGTATCTCAAGTTCTAGACTCAATAATAATGCGTAAACTAAGTGGTACTCGGGAGGCACAAACACGAGAGAACCAGGCAGGCCTTAGACCAGGAAGAGGTTGTATTGATCATATCTTCACCTTGCGACAGATTCTGGAGCATAGACATAATTATCGGCGTCCAACAATTGTTATATTTCTTGACCTAAAGGCAGCATTCCATTCTGTCGACCAAGAGGTACTCTAGCGATGCTTGGCTGTGAAAGGAATGCCGAGAAAATACATCTCATTGATCAAGGAACTCTACTCGAACTCATGCAGCCAGGTGATAGCTTACAGTGAGTTATCAATTGAAGTAGTGACAACTAGTGGTGTCCATCAAGGATGCCCACTGTCCCCATTTCTATTCAGTTTTATCATAGATGTACTGCTGACTTCAGCGACTTAGGGATTGACTTGTTACCATCAGGGAATAATCTCTTTGACTTAGAATATGCAGATGATATAGTCCTTCTAGGTGAAGACGCTAACAAAATGCAGTCTTCTGAACGCCTTGAGTTGCAGTCTGCTAATGTTTGGCATGCGATTCGCTCCCGCTAACTGTAAGATGATGCTACAGGGCTGGACTACACTGACTCCTAGCTTAGAAATAGGGAGTGAAGTGGTAGAGGACATAGACCACTTCACTTATTTGGGAAGTTGCATCAGCCCCAACGGGTTGATCGCTGACGAAATCTCAGCACGGATACAGAGGGCTAGTTTCGCATATGCCGGTTTACACCGTCTGTGGCGTAGACGTGATATCCGACTATCGACCAAAGGACGTGTGTACTGCTCAGCAGTCTGCTGCGTCCTGCTTTATGGCTGTGAGACCTGGCCATTGAGAGTGGAAGATATGACAAGACTACCTGTCTTTGATTATAGGTGCCTGCGTTCTATCTCCGATGTTAAGTGGTTTAATAGGGCGTGCCATATTGAGCTTAGGCATCGAGTGCTAGGTAAGGAGGGGAAATCAGTTGACGAATACTGTTCTTCGTTATTACTATTCTTTTGTCTCATATCCCTGTCTACTGTCTCTATTATACATTTCTTCTACTTTCTTCTCCTGCTTTGTGTGCTAAATGGAGTGTGGCAACTTGAACTGCTGCACATCGGTGCAAAGTTCTATGTGGAAAACAGACATACAGATAAAGAGCAATCAGATATTATTAAAAACAAGACAAGTAGTTCAGCGAAAAGGCTTTTTTCGGCGAATTCATTTCCCACTTTAGCGGTACAATCGCATTTATACACAATTTTTCATGAAAGAGGGCATTAACAAAAGTGATGAGTTGCTACGAACATAGCTGTTAATATTAGACAGTGCATTAAAGGAGTTGAAGTGTATTATTCGTAGACATAACCTAATTATATCTCTTGCTACTCACGTCCAACGCAACTGCAGCCCTGATGCTACGGAAGAACAATTACACTTTTCGAAGGAAATCTTCATGCGAAAAAGCTGTCCACGGAGATATATTGACCAGAAAATCAAGCCGAAAATTCAAAGACAAGAGACGCCATCTGTGGCAAAAAAACTGCACATGAACCTCGACTTTAAATGTGACCCACTCAGTGATGTCCCTAAGAGGAGAATTTCAGCTTCTTCAAGAACTTCCTTCATAGCAACTCTAACAGTGGTATTCTGCAGTCGCCTACTGGTCTGCATTAGCTCATAGGACAAGATCTCGAATCCGACCACCTCTATGTGTGTCTGTCAGTTCACCTGTTGCTGTGGAGCCAGGTACGTTGGTTGTTCGATGCGTGTCCTGTCTAAAAGGGTTCAAGAATACTATTCCATGTGGTTGCAGAAAGGTAGTAGTAAGCGCAATAAAAGAACACCTCAACACTGGTCATTCCATCTTAACAAACGCTTCCTCCAAAGTGAAAGATAACCTGCCAAAGGCAATACGCCTTCGTCCTCTTTGTATTACTAAAGCTTTAGCCATTCAGTTGGAAAAACCGGAGCTACGCATGTAAAAGAAAACTACTCAACTACTTCTACTATCATGGTAACAACCTTGTTGATTTATACTGACTTGATTGTGTTTCTTTTCCTAACTCCATATAACTTGAATTTTTTACAACTCTTACACAATCACATCTTTTCCTTCGTTTCTATATGCATCCTGATTACAACTCATCCAGCAAATTATCCATCTTACTACGTAACTCTAATACACTTATACACTGACCAATACTAACAACTATGTTTGTGACAACTCATCACTTTTGTTAATGCCCTCTTTCATGAAAAATTGTGTTATAAATGCGACTGTACAGCTAAAGCGGGAAATGAATTCGCCGAAAAGAGCCTCTTCGCTGAACTACTTGTCTTGTTTTTATTAATATTTATACTAACAAATTTGTATATGGGACAGAACTTTGTATGTATTTCCACAACAATAAATGACTGAAGACAGTTGGATAGATTTAAAATGCAGATACTCTTTCATGCTGCCACAAGTGCGAACTCATTTGAGAAAGATCCTTTTCTGCACTTAAGTAGTAAAATAAACCATTTTACATCAGGTAAACTTAATTTCAGAGGAAAAATATGAAATACTGATATTTAATATAGGACAGATTCAAGCATTACACACAAAAATTATCATGACCATGTTGTTTCGTTTTGATATAAGCCATGAAAATAAATTACCGTTTGAAAAGTACAATTAAGTGCATAAGTATATTCAATTGACAGAGTTAAACATAACCATAAATACCGTCACAAACAGGGTATATATGTATAGTTTTATTGCGTGCAAAGCATATATCTTTTCTGCACATCCACAAGAGTGAACGTCTTTCACATTAACGTCCAACACTTAATAAACTAAACTAGTAGCTAAACTGCTCTTTACAGAAAAAGGAATTCCTCAGGGTACTATAGTGACATAGTTTTCAGTACATTACTGAAGAAATCCAGCGTAAATAAGTACTGCTGACTAAGGCTTTCTTCTCCGGGCTTATGAATGTAGACCTACCGGAGCTCGAGCTACAGCCTTGTGATCTACACTGAAGATCTAGCAAGTATGGTACTGACCAAATGTTTGAGATTATAAAACGCATCTTCATTGTGAAAAGAATTACCCGTGAAATTCTAAGTGGTCGCCCAACACGGTTTCAGGAAAGACAGATCCTGTGTAACAAACCTACTATCAGCTTGGGATGATTGGACATCATGCTGGGATATGAATGTTCCAGTCCATGTGGTCTTCCTAGACTTTGAGAAGGCATTCGACACTGTTCACTATGACCTTCTCCTACACAAAATAAGCCAGGTAGGTTTGGGTAAACCACTTCTGTCATGGTTAGATGACTACCTAGCTGAAAGGCAATTTTGCACTAAGGTCAATCGAGTCCGATCATCTTGGCACAGCTCGTCATCAGGAGTGTCGTAGGGTTCAGTCCTAGGACCACTAATGTTTTTGATTTTTATCAATGATCTACCATGCCGTCTAAGCTGCCCGACTCTTCTATACGCTGACGACGTGAAGATATGGAGGATGATAAAGTGCCCGGAGGACTCAGACAGGCTACAGGAAGATCTAAACCTTCTGGAACACTGGGCGGTGACCAGTGGCATGACTTTCAACCTGAAAAAGTGCAAAGTAGTGAAGTTACGCACCTGTAGACTGCAGAATGCAAGTTACACCCTGTGCAATGAAAGCTTGTCCTGCACAACGTCGGAACGTCACTTAGGTCTAGTTCTAACGGAAAAAATGGACACAAGCGTAAATTACAGGGGTGACGTAGCGACGGCATATGTGGTCATACACTTTACACATAGACAGTTAGGTGCACTCACTCTTGAGCTCTTTTTAAGGTTGTACAAAACATTCGTCAGACCACACCTTGAAGTGCATAATATTATTTCACCCCCACTGCTTAGAAGAGACGCCGACCTCTTGGAAAGAGTCCAACGATGGGCAACAAAAGGAGTGGTTGGTCTCCGAAATAAACCATATGATGAAAGGCTGAAGAAATTAGGCCTATTCACACTTAACTACCGTCGTCTTAGGGGAGATTTAATTACTGCCTACAAAATAACAAATAACCAAAATCACCCAAACAAAGGTGTTCTGCTATTGAGTAGGTATAGGCTCCGTCGTGGAAATCCCAGAAGGATAGCTCACCAGATGGCAAGGACCCGGGTGCGCTCCCACTTCTTTTCACTGCGTGTTTGCCGTCCCTGGAATTCCTTACCGGCAGATGTAGCTATGGCACCGTCTGTGGACGCCTTTAAGCGGAGGCTGGACAACCATGCAGCGACACAAGGACCGCATCTAAATGGCCTATCCCCTTAAAATCGCATACACCATTCAAGGATAGACAATTAAACTTGTCGTTTTATTTCTTTACATTCTCTCCCGTCTTACTCTCCTGACAACTTAAACTACACCTATGATTGTTATTATCATTATTATATATATATATATATATATATATATATATATAAGTCGCGGAGAGGAGCAGACGTGGGTTCAGACCACTATCTAGTACAAGGGACTTTCAATGTGAAGCTAAAAGCCTCGAGGATAGCTGGGGATAGGCCACAATACTTACTTTACTTTACTTCGGCTATCTCCTACGGGAGGATGAGCCGGCTTCATGAACATCTCGAATCATCGCTGCCCAGGCACGGCGATCTGATGCAAGGTTTTGCGTCGTTTGTAAAAGAGTTCATGAAGTTTCATGGGAATTTGGTACGAGTGATGTCCCCAGAATCGCTCGGCCTTTTGTTTGAGAGTGCAGCTCTAGCCTTTACACAACCAAGTGTGACCTACAAGGCAGTAGGAGTGGAGTAGGGAGTCCACTATCCATTGGCAGCCGGTGACCGGAGTTCGGTTCATACGCCTTTTTGAATGGGGCCAGACATCCAGGACATCCAACAAACCCTTTGTCCATACGTCTGCCGGTGAGCTCCAGTGAGCTTCATACGCCAGTCGTTGGAGGTTTGGAATCAGGGTTTAGCCATCTCCCCTAGACTGTCATCCAACGGACAGTCAACCCGGTGAAGAGCGCCGGGCATCCGCTTTCGCCCTCTCACTTTGGTGAAAAACACCTCCGCCACATGAAGGCAGTGGGTAGGACTTCCTCAAGAGAGGCTATGTAAGACGCCCGGTCATAAGGGAGCATTTCAAGAGGTATGCGGAGGGGTGGCCAACCCGCAGCGCAAGGCACCCACCCCCGACCATCCTGAGGCTTTGGAGGCAATGCAAGTTCAACACTCAGAAACTGAAGGACACAACCACGAAGGACACTTTCACTGCAACTGTCAGAGCAAAGCAGGAAACACTACGTGGCATCACTGAGGAATCATGCGTGGAAGACCATTGGAACTCTCTGAAGGTGATTTTTAACGAAACGTGTTCAACGGTTTTAGGAAGAAAGAAGAGACAAGACAAGGAATGGCTCTCAACGGACACTTGGAAGCTAATAGAGGAGAGGAGAATGGTGAAAGAGAAAATGATTCAATGTAAAGACGGACAAGAGAAAGAGACGCTGAGCGCATCTTACACAGCACTGGACAGAGAAGTGAAGAAGAGTGCCAGGAAGGACAAAAGACAACTCTACGACAACCTGGCTACTGAAGCTGAGAAGGCAGCAGGCAAAAGGGACCTGAGAACACTATATCAGATAACCAAGTCTCTATCCGGGAAGAGACCAACACAAGTGAAACCTATAAAAGACAGCCAAGGGAACCCAATTACCAAGGAAGAAAGACAGATCAAACAATGGGCGGACCACTTCAAAGGACTCTTGAACCGACCACCACCTACAACTCGTCCAGAAATACCAACTACACCACGTACACAACTGCAAGTTGACACCAATCCTCCAACGAAAGATGAAGTTTTGAATGCAATCAAGCTTCTGAAAGCTGGAAAAGCAGCTGGACCAGATGGAATACCCCCTGAAGCACTGAAAGCGGACCCAGAAACGACAGCAGATATGCTGACTCCATTATTGCAAAAGGTCTGGTAGGAGGGAGAGGGGCCTACTGACTGGAGGAAAGGTTACCTCGTGAAACTACCAAAGAAGGGCGACCTAGGACTCTGCAAGAACTGGTGAGGAATCATGCTCCTGTCGACGCCAAGTAAAATCCTGAGTCGCATCATCCTGGAGAGAATAAAGGACGCACTGGATACAGAATTACGACCAGAACAAGCTGGATTCAGGAAAAACAAATCATGTTCTGACCAAATTGCAACTCTGCACATCATCGAACAAAGCATGGAATGGCAATCAAACCTCTACCTCAACTTTATAGACTTTGAGAAGGCCTTCGACAGAGTTGACCACGAAGTAATTTGGAAACTACTAGAGTACTACGGCGCATCTCAAATATTTATCAACCTTATTCAACAGCTGTACGACAACGGCACATGTCAAGTGATCCACAACGGAAAACTCAGTGAGGCGTTTGGAGTAAACACAGGAGTCAGCCAAGGGTGTTTATTATCACCAATGATACTCCTAATTGTGGTGGACTGGATTATGCGTCAGACAGTGGGAAACGAGAAGACAGGGATATCCTGGACCGAAGTGAAGAACCTAGAAGACCTGGGTTTCGCGGATGATTTATGTTTGATGTCACACAAAATCGAAGACTTACAAGCGAAAACCGATAAACTGGTCGAAGAAGCAGCAAAGACAGGTGAACATAGACAAGACGGAGGTTATGAAAATAACCAACCAACAACAACAACAGCAACATCCAGCGCCAATCACCATCAATGGGAGGGATTTGAAAGAGGTTACTTCATTCACTTATCTAGGGAGCATTGTCTCAACTACAGGAGGAATAGACGAGGATGTCAAATCGAGAATCGGGAAGGCGAGAAACACATTCATCAACCTGAAACCAATCTGGAAATCTTCGTCACTCAGCATCAACAACAAAATTCGGATTTTCAATAGAAACGTCAAGTCAGTTCTTCTATACGGATCAGAGACTTGGCGGGTTACAAAGAATATTTCCAACAGGTTGCAGATCCTCATCAACAGCTGTCTTCTCTCTATGCTCAAGATCAGATGGTCGGAAAGAATCACCAACAAGAAGCTATGGGAACAAACAAAACAGGAACCAATCGCTCAACAAATATGCAGGAGAAAGTGGAGATGGATTGGACACTCGCTGAGGAGGCCGCTGGGTGACATCGCGTGTCAGGCCAGTGCTGGAGTGTAACCCGAAAGGGAAGCGGCGAGTGAGACGTCCAAGGGTGACATGGAGGAGATCGTGTGAAGAGGAGCTGAAACGGTATGGATTAACATGGATGCAGGTGAAAAGTACAGCAGAAGACAGAAACAAGTGGAGACGTGCAGTTGAAGCCCTATGTTCCACTAGGAACCCAAGGGAACAATAATAATTTTATATATATATATATATGTATATATATATATATATATATATATATATATATATATAGAATTCATATTATTCTTCAAATTTAATTAGCTGGCTGTTGTTACGTTTTCTTTATTTCTTTTCCTGTCTGTTAGTTTGAATAACCTCACTAATTAAATCTATTATTATTATCATCTTTTCTTTTGACGACGATACCGGAGGACTAACTGGTGAAAGGATCAACTCCATTCACAGTGGTAAGTCTTAACACACCTCATACTACATACAACATAATTAATCCCAGCACTACTCCTTCTGGAGTCAACCAAAACTACCATAGTCGAGTGGTGGGACGACCTACACAGAAGTTTACCGAAGATCAGGAACCTATACCTCACAATCATGAGGCGTGCACAAAGAAATCAAAGTGGTTTATACTAGCTAGTAAAAATGATATGTTTTATTCCTTCACGTTCCCAGTGGAACATAGGGCTTCAAGCTGGAAGCTTGAAGTTTCTGCAGCAGTGTCTATCTTTACAGGATGGGGTTGCTAGCCTCATGCCCAACCTTCCCTATTTACCAGCTTCATTTCTGGATTAGCGAGATAAAGGAGTGCGTCGGCCGGGTATCGAACCCCGGACCATGTGCATGGTCGGCGAGCGTCCTAACCGCTGTGTCACCGATGCAAAAGCGATATTGGATGTACATCTTAAGACACATCTGATTTCCAATCTCGCTCCATTTAACTACCTGTGGGGTCTACAGTTATCTGGAGGTGATTCAGGTGTATTGGGAAGAATTTTGAAGCATTCTCCGCTGATTTTTACTGATTTATCATCATCTATTGCAGAGTTTTTACTTATAGGAGTGGCATCAGTACCTTATCATACATCTCGACAAAATAAAGTGGCAACCATAGATGCCATACCTTACCTTATTGAGATATTCACTCATTTCATCATCCATTTTTGCCGACTATTACGCAACAAAGAAAGTGAATCAATGCAATTGCTTAACCTAAGGGCCTTAGGAGCACATGTTGTAGCGCATATGTTAGCGTTGGCACGTAATGTTAAATATTCACTGCTACAAGCACTCCATAACAATCTTGTCAATATTTGACAGATAAATTTACAGTCCTATGTCTTGATATGCAGGTCATTTTATTGTCCTCCCTGAATATGTTTAAATATGCAAGCACCACTTTCCTTCGAGACACACTTGTAACTCCTGATACTTATCCGGAAGAATACTAATTCTTCCCTTCAACTTGTAAAAGGTCGCCATTCTCTTCCACGAATACGACGTTTTATATATGTAAAATGATTCTCGAGATATCTGTAGGCAGTAATAAATGAAAGCTTTGTGTATTTATCAGCTGGAAGGAATAGCATATAAGTAGTTAAATGGAGAATGCGAATTCAGTCTTCAAAAGCTACATATCTTTTAATGACAGACAATTTCTCAGCTGCAATAGAAAATCTCACGTTAACGGAATTTTCCAGATCCGTTAATGTAAAATTATATAGTGGTTAGGACTCTCGCCGACCACGCACATGGTCCGGGGTTCGATCCCCTGCCGACGCACACCCGATATCTATGGTCGGCCTGCAAAATTTGAGCTACCGATATCCATGCTGAAAATTCCATACTTGTACTGAAAATACGGTGTGGCATCAAGCTGTAATCAAAAAAATAAATAAAAATGCATGACTGTTTACACCTAGTCTTCAATTGTTCAGCTGCTCTACATGGCGTTTTGAAGTTACCTATTTATGCATACTTTCCGGGGGAACTCAGCTTTTCTCCGGGAATCGCCAGTGATCAGTCCTTTCCACTTGTTTGTGGTCGATTCTGACACTAATGGACAACCATCCATCGGTGAAAATTGTAGTCACTGGGGGCGAAATATGTGTTAAGCGTGTACCGGTAAATAATTCCCCAAAATTATTGATCACAGCAATCATCACTGAACATCGGATGCCGATCCTCACTGTTTAAGTCGACTTGTTTAGCTGAAGACTTCCGGTCAAGCGTCCATGCCATTTGGTACTCCGTCGTGTCACGCGCGTGCACGATCATTAGCCAGCTAAGCATTCACTCTATACGGTTTACTATTTGGTCCCGAAATATATCACGTACTTTGGACAACTAAATCTGGTCTTTTGCCTTGTCTTTGGTACACGACAAACGAATATTATAGAAGTTGTTGGTATAAGATCTTGCGTTAGTATACTCCGTACAATTCGCGAATGTCTATACCGTCAACCTCCAAAAGCGACTGGTCAGCGTTAACCAATACCTATTACTCATTTTTTGAGCCAATATCAGGGAAATCGGTTTCGCTGTGTCTGAATCTTGTAAGGATTATTGGGCGAGCTTCGAATTACTCCGTCCTGCAGCTCTCAGGCTCAAACTTTGATGTACCACAAATGAATCGGGAAGTTAGATAGATTTGAAATTTCGTAGTTCTGAGTGGGCATTGTTGCACTTTTCCTTGTCGAATTTTGTATTTTATACGAGTAAGTTTTTCGGTGTCTTCAATGAGAATAAGGTTGCCCTAATAATGACAACAAAAGTGGTTTCAGGACGGAGGAGTATAAAAACGAATTAAATAGGTGTAATTAGGCAAATGCACAAATAAATAAGAGGGTCGGACAAGAGAGTTTGTATTGGCACTTAGGATTTGATGAGTTAATTTCTACATGTAGGTACTTGTTACAGAGTAGAATGCGAGTATTATATCTGTTTTGACCAGTGTGGTAGTGGACTAATCTCAGCTATTGTGTTAGTGAATCATTATCTAGCCAGAGTTAAGGTTTTTGCTGAAGGTTGCGGCTGCTGTCAGGGAAATTTGAAGGCCGTAAACCTGACGTCGAAAGAAGCATTATTTTATTCCTGTGGTGGATGATGCTCTGTGGTTTTCCCAAATGAAACCCAGGATACCTAGCCTTTGGATGCTTTTATCCCACTACTTGTCCTTAAAAGCCGTTACTGAGATTATGAATCCTTTGTAGTTAATCCAGGATTAGTAGGTGAGTATTGTTTTTGTTCTCGGATTGGGTCCTCTGCAGACTTTGTGAAGCTTTGTGGCATTAATGAACCGTCTAAGCATGAGTTGATGCACCGAATATAGACTGACGATTTCCCACACGTATTTAAGGTGGGTTGGTGGTTGGAATAAGATAAAGGTCATCTACTGATGCCACAACGGACAAGTCAGGGTAACGGAAAAAGCGTCATTCTATGCAATGTTAGGATACTCGGATCACCTCTGCCTTATAACACTGAGGAACACATTGATTTAACTCTTGGTTGATCATTTTTGTTTCTGGGGTATGCATGTAGCTTTTATGGGCTCTACAAATCTTTTAAAGATCTCAGCATCATTGAACTTTTGGCATGGAGAACAGTTAGGCAAATCATATCTTTGGTGAAGCTAGTGGCGAGTGAGAAAAAGATTATGACACCTCAATTTTCCTCACAATTTTTCCATGACAGGTGAAGCAGATGCGACTAAAACAGACCCCGTAGTTCATGACATACAAATCCCAGCACCGTAATCGACAGTTCAATATAAGCTTAACTCATCTTGCTTGGAATGAACCTCTTTTAAAGACCTACAGGGATGCTTATGGCAAATTATTTCCATCAAAGTAATTCTTCAGGTAGCGCAGACTAGGCACTCCACTACAGTTAATAGTGCTGAAATTAATGATAAGTTTATAACATATGGCATTTCTTTGTTCTCAATCTTGAAGTTAGTAGATTTTATGTGAGACGAATTTCCCTGACCTTTGTTGAAGAATTTAAGCAGCAATGTGCCTCAGTTACCGTGTATTCTTGGAAATATTTCTATGTCTAACTCTTTCTGTGCACTGAACTCCTAACGGCTGCTATCTACCGTAACATTTTGTTGAACCTGGTATTTTCCAGGATCCTTTAAGAACAACGGCTAATTCAGGGTCACTTTGAAACTTTTGAAACACTGTTTGAAATAGTGTGGCCTCTCATGTCAGCCATCCGTTTCCACTCTGTCTTTCGTGATGGTGGTAATGTTTTTGCTGTTGTTAGTCCTTAGATTCGTGTGGGAGACAGTTCGCCAGGCGCAATCACTGGTCATATCAGTAGAGATGACGGTTCTGTTACAATATTCGCTGAGTTTTTTTGAGTCCAGTGGACAACTTGACAGTTCACTCAAAAGTGTGCTGAAGATTTCTGCATTGTATCTCAAAACACCACACCAAATTGCGCCACAATCTAGCGATTTCCCTTCATCGAGTTTCTGTATTTTGGTTTCTGTGATCTGTTTGTTTTCATTTGACGGCTTCCCCAAGCAGTGGTTTTAAATGAAGCAAGGGTGATTGCGTCATTTAGCCGTTTTCTAGCTACTGGGATAGTAAAGAGTTGTACTCACTAACTGATATTTTTTCTTCCAGGAGTAAACTTAATTTTAGTGGACACTAGGTAATAACTAAGGTAATGAGTCTACCCCTCCATTCGGTGCAGACTGAATTCCGTCAGTCGATTTTGCCTTGTAAAGTTATATAAAGTCTAGGGGTGCACCCAAAGTTGCTTTTGAAGTTTGCCTAAAACGATACACGGCATCTCCGATCACTGTTGCTGAATAAATACCTTCCGGTTACATATGTGCCGTGATTGGTTTATTTTACGAACCGACTCTCCTGTTGGAATAATTACCAGAAATACCAACATTTGGTGTATGTGAATTAATTGGACAGTAACGGGTGTTTAACGTGCATTTCGTGAGTCCGTGAGCTGCAGAAGCTTAGTCAAACACATGGAGGAGCATTCATCACTCAGTAATGTTCATTAGGGAAACGGCACCCTACAGACAATAAAAGAAGCACTGTTTCTAGTAGGTCATTCGATTGTCCTTTTGTATCGTTCAGTCTCTAATAGCCTGTTGAGTGACCATAGCACATAAAGTTTGTCTTATGAGCTATAGACTCCCTACATCAGCATCTCTCTAGAAATGACTTCAGCAAGTGAATATACCCGATTAGCCATTCGTTTGGAGCTGAATCTAGCATTTTCACCGGGTTTATTCCTTTCCGACTGGTTACTTTGGAATTGAACTCAGTACCACTATGCTTTAACGGGACGAGTAGTTATTTATAATCTCTCCAAAATGAAAATATCGGGTATAAGTAACGCGTATATAAGGAACAGGTTAACGCCACCTGCCTAGAGTTTGAGAAGCAGACATTTATGGACATGCTTGACTGCCCGTGTTTATGAGCGTGCTCCCGAACCGGACACTTACCAGTTAGTTTATAGTGTGTGCTTCCTCTACGACAGAATATTTTGTGTCATTAAACTCATTTCAAGGATACTTCTTCAGAGCCAGTAGACAGAGCTTTCTTGATCGTGTCCTCCCATATTACTCAAAGTAAACACCACTCTCTGACTCTTTCATGGTGGTTTGCTTCGGAGGTCTGACTAATATAGAGTCCATGTACACAACAGATAGTATGCCAGAACCTGTAGAGTGGGTGATGAACCAGTAAGTACTTAACTCTATACATTAAAATTTTCACTTTATGCCAAGAATCTATTGATGGTAAGAAGTGACTAAATTGTCGCTCTGTTGGTACTAGTGCTGGCGTAATGATCAAGCTCCTCACAATAGGGTGGCAGCTTGATGTTTGTGACTTGAACCATTTTGATGGCGTTAATGAGGATGGCAAAGGTTGAATATACTGATGGTGGTTCTCAGTTTGCAATACCTTCCTGGACATCGCAGTCAGTTCCATGACTACATTTGATAAAACTCCCACTGGTGGCCTGTTTGACACCTGGGCCACCTTTCTGTACATCTACATATTTGCATCCAGTACATCATGTTTTCATTTTTAATTTTTAAAGAATATGATCACACATCGTATCAAATACAGTAATGAATTCATTAAATGTTTTAAACCATATGAATTTCATGCATCTAA